ATGTGAAGAAGGCGGGGCCTTCGGACCTGGAGGAGGGGTCATATGGGCAGCGGGCGGGGTTTAATGGAGATGGGTGGGGCTTGGGTATCCGTGGGGTCGTCTGTTTTGGGGTGTAGGTCTGGTTTAAAGCTGAAAAGGAGGAGCCTGTGGGGAAAGGGGCGGGACTTTGCGTGGGGACCTGGATCTTTGGAAATTGGCCGGAGATGGGAGGGGGTGTTAAAAGAGGCGATCAACTTGGAAAGTGGGCCAATCCGTGACGCAAATCCTCTAGTGCCGCCCCCAGCCCCACCCCCCACTGTTCCGTTCCTTTGCTCCTAATTGGTTCTGATTTCTCCGCCCGCCAGACGTCTTCGCCATTCAGCAGAGGTTTTACAAAGGTGCAAGTACCGGGTGAAGAGCTGGACGCTGAAATAAACACAGCCCTGATTGGGCACCTGTGCACCTTATTTGAATGGAAGCTCGGGATTGGCTGGCCTTGTCGGTGGCCTGGGCGGTGTTCGCTAAGCTCGTGACCATCTACTGCCATGGCCGGGCCCGGGTCCGCTTTCCGCCGCTTGGGTGCCTTGTCTGGAGCCGGGGCCTTAGGCTTGGCCTCCTACGGGGCGCACGGTCAGGGGCCTGGGGATGGAGCTGGGATTGTGCTTGGGGCGACTGACGGGGTCTGGTGCAGGGGCGGAGTCTGTGGGAAGGGCGAGGACTCGCGTAGACCAGACAGCCTGCAAAGCCCTAAACCTTTCAAAGCCCCGCAGCGCGGTCCAATTGGCTCCCAGGACTGCCCACGCGCGTTCCCGCCAGTCACAAGCCTCCTGGGTGCCCTTTCTCTCCTGTGTCCACCTGGGTCCTCCCGGGAGTTGGGCGTCAGGACTGGTGACCTTTGCCTCTCCGTTCCACAGGCGCCCAGTTTCCGGATGCCTACGGGAAGGAGGTGAAGTCACTGTGCTGGGGGCTCCCCGATTTCCGGGTCTCTGAGGGCACAAAGTCTGGGGTCCCTGAGGGAAGTAGGGGAGGGGCCGAGTGCGGGTCTTTGGAGCAGCGAGGGCTGAGAGCCTGAGGTGTGGGTGCCTGAGGGGTGGGGGGTGCTGAGACTCAGTTTGGGAACGACCTTCTGCCCCACGGGATCCAGGCTCCTGAGTTGCTTAGGAAGTCCCCTAATCACTCTTTTTCTTACAGCTCTTTGACAAGGCCAACAAACACCACTTCTTCCACAGCCTGGCCCTGTTAGGGGTGCCCCATTGCAGAAGGCCCCTCTGGGTAAACACCCCCTTACCTAACCCTGACCAAGCCCCACCCACTGCTCAGCCAGCCGTTTCCTTACTATCTTGTTTTCTTCCTTGTATCTCCTTCAGGCCGGGTTACTCCTAGCCTCTGGAACCACCTTATTCTGCACCAGCTTTTACTACCAGGCTCTGAGTGGAGACCCCAGCATCCAGGCTTTGGCCCCTATGGGAGGGAGCCTTCTACTCATGGGCTGGCTTGCCTTGGCTCTTTGAGCTTCCTTGTGTTTAATTTCTGGGTACTTTTTTTGAGAGGTGGAACAGGGAGGGGATTAAAAGAGAAAGGCAAATAAAGAACTTTGGAGTCTTTGTTCATCTAACCTCTTGGAGGAGGAAGGGTAGGGATTCTCAGCCTCTGAACTCCCTCACTTTCCTTAGACTGAATCAGCTTTGGGTCTGGGGCTTCTGTTCACTTCAAGTTAATTTGTTATGAGGTTCTTAAACTGGTGGTTATCAGAGTCATAAATAATGCCTGAAATAATGCTGATTCTCACTGAAGCCCTCTTTGGGGCCTGGGAATCTATATTCTAGTAAGCTCTTCTTGTGGTTCTGATGCTCACTAGAATTTGAAGATGACTGTAGGGTAGTGGTTTTCAGCCCTGTCATTCCACAAATTTATTGAGCACTCACTCACTCTAGAAGTCAGGGTCATGGCAAGGCAGGACAGGAGGAGTGCCATTACAGTACTCCTCCCATATTTGTGGTTTTACTTCCCACAATTTTACTTTATGCCATTTTAGTTACCCATGATCATCTGCGACCCAGAAATACAAAATAGAAAATTCCAGAAACAAACAATTCATAACTTTTAGATGGCATGCTGTTTTATGCAATCCCACTCTGTCTCACTGTGATGTAAATTATCCCTTTGTCCAGAGTTACCAGCCCATTAGTCATTTAGTAGCTATCTCAGTTATAAGATAGACTGTCCAGGTATGGAAGTGCTTGTGTTCAGGTAACCCTTATTTTACTTAATAATGGCCCCAAAGCACAAGGGGGGTGATGCTGGCAATTCAGATATGCCAAACAGAAGCTGTAAAGTGCTTCTTTTAAGTGAAAAAGTGAAAGTTCTCAACTTAAGGAAAGGAAAAAAGTATTACTGAGATCTACAGTAAGAATGTACCTTCTATCTGAAACTGTGGAGGAAGAAATTCGTGCTCATTTTGCTGTTGCACCTCAAACTGCAAAACTTACAGCCGCAGTGCACAATTAGTGCTTAATTAAGATGGGAAAGGCATGAAATTTGTGGGTGGAAGACATAAACAGAAAATGTGTTCTGATAGATGGCAACCTGTCATGTCAGAGAGCATTGAGCCTGTATGAAGACTTCAGCAAGGGTATGAATGTATAGGGAAAAAGCATAGAGGCTTCAGCACTCTCTGCAGTTTCAGACATACACTGGGGGCATTGGAACGTATCCCCTTTGGATACAGGGGGACTACTGTCCTTACACTATACTCTGGGTTTCAAAGAAGGGACAGAACATTATGTATTAGGGGTTAGAAAATACTTCACAGTGCTTGAGATGATCCTTAAAAGAACTTTGTTGTGTGAAGGAAGCTCAGTGAACAAAGAGGTGGGGAGCAGAGGAGTATGGGACTAAAGGAATCTTCAGTGTGGGCCCAGTTTTTGAGAAAAGGAGTGAGCAAAGGTGGCAAGGCAGGCTGGAGTAGCACCCACGGCATGGAGAGAACTGGAAGATATTTAGAAGGCAGTATTTATTAAGCCAGTGCTCATCAAATATTGATCATGTGTCAGATACACAAGGAAATTCAACTGTGAACAAGACAGATGCCATCCTTTCCCTCATGGAGTTTTCCACTTAGTAGTGGAAATGGACCTTAAACAACTAAACACGCAAATATATCACTGTGAGTTGTGCTGTGCTTGGAGGAAAAGAGCAGGGAGGCAGTGGAACAGCGGGTCAGTGGATGCTATGCTCTTTAGATGGGAAGGCCTGGCAGAAGGAGGTCCATCTGAAGCTAACCATGCATAAAGCTGGAAGGAAGTGTATTCTAGGCAGAAAGAATAGCTCACAAAACAGGTCAGAAGGGAGCAGTTCAAAATCTTTGAGGCGGGAGAAAATTGGGTGAGTTGGAAAAAGCAAAACCAGTGTGATCAACATGTAGTGAGTGAGTGATTAGGGCGTCCTGGATGGTCAGTGCAGGCATGGGCAGACGCTCGGAATTTCTTTGTAGTGCAACAATAAATTATTGAAAGGTGTTTTTTTGTGTGTATGTGTATGTGTATGTGTTTTTAATCCTCACCTGAGGGTATATATTTTTTGAAACATCGGTCACTGATGTGAGAGAGACGCATTGATCGGTTGCCTCCCGCATCCAGGGCGGGGGCCAGGGATGGAGCTTACAACCAAGGTCCCTTCAGTCCACAGGCCAACACTAGCCACTGAGCCAAACCAGCTGGGGCTGAAAGGTTTTGAAAGTGAAAGTGCTAGAATCTGATATGTTTAAAAGATCTGGAGAACCAATCAGACGATGGCAACAGGGGGGCCAGTCAGGAGGCCACCGAAGAGTTCCAGCTGTGAGATGATGATGGCTTGGCTTAGGGTGGGAGAGGTGGCGAAAAGGATCCAATTCAGAATATATTTTTAAGATAGTGATGATAGGACTTGCTGATGGATTGCACATAGGAGTGAATGAGGGAGATTTCTGGCTTACACACCTGACTAGATAGAGGTGCTATTACTCAGATGAGAAAAACAAGGAGGGGCAGATTAGGGGGAGGCAAATCAGAAGGTCAGTTTTGCTTCCAAAATGTCCAAGAGACGATATCCAACTGGAGGCGCCAAGCAGGTGGGGAGCTCAGAGGTGTCTGAGCTCAGGAGAGAGGTCTGGACTCAAATTTACTCTGCAACCCATTCTGGTCAGTCTTCCATTTCTTCCACATAAATGCCCTTGGAAAGATGCCGTGACTCACTATGACCTCCTGGTTGCCAGATCTAATGGATGATTTTCAATCTCATTTTCCTCAGCCTCTATGCAGCATTTGACACAGTTGGCCACACTGTCCTTGAAACACATCATGTTGCTTCTATGACACCACTCTGGTTTTTCCTATCTCTGTGGCTACTTTGCCAGCTTCTCCCTACGCAGTTTAAATAAATGGTTTCCAAATTTTAATGAAAAAAGTTAGAACTCCTATGTATACATACTTTAATTTCATTCTTTTAAATTTCTACCTTTGTGTATGTTTTATTTTTATTTTATTTATTTTTTAAATATCTTTATTGATTTCAGAGAGAGGAAGGGAGAGAGATAGAAACATCAATGATAAGAGAGTCATGGATCGGCTGCAGCCCGCAACCCGGGCACGTGCCCAGACCGGGAATCGAACCCTGATCTCCTGGATCCTAGGTTGATGCTCAGCCGTTGAGCCACGCTCAGCTGGGCTGTGTATGTTTTAGAAAGTGCATATCTGTATCGTATACTGGAGGTGCATACTTAATTTTTCTGAAGTATGCACTTACATTCAGAAAAGTACAGAACATTTCTCTAATTGAGGATTTTTAGGTAATCTCATTCAGCTCCACATCTTTCATTAGGATCTGCATATTTTTAAATCCAGAATTTCTGTCTCCCACCCTAATTTCTACTGAGCTCCAGACCCCTGTAGCAGCTTCAGTGAAGCAGAGTGTTCAGTGGAGTCTTGAAGGAGTTAGGTGATGAGAGAAAGAGGCATGTTTCAGGCCAGGCAAGAGCTTTCAAGGCAGCCTCGAAACAAGAGAGCCCAGTGCATTAGAGATCTGAAAGAATTCCTGGTGACTGGCTTGAAGATCATGAGAGGGTCAGTAGTGAAAGATGCGGATAGCAGGGGTCAAATGGTGGAGAGACTGTGCCAAGGGGTTGGCCTATTTTCTGAGGACAGTGGGGAGCCACTGAAGCATTTATATCCAGGGAAGAGACATGATTTGAGGTGTATTAGAGGATCACAATATTTCTTCATTGAAAGACGAATAAAGTAGGCCCCAGAGTGACCCACAACGCCAGTGGCAGAGCCAGCACGGGATCCTCAGGCTCCTACCTCCCAGTTTAGTGGTGTTTTGTTTTTGTTTTTCCTTCAAAGTATCTTTATTGAGTTCAGAGAGAGGAAGGGAGAGGGAAAGAGAGAGATAGAAACTTCAATGATGAGAGAGTCATTGATTGGCTGACTCCTGCGTGCCCCCCACTGGGGATTGTGCTGGCAACCTGGGCATGTGCCCTGACTGGGAATCAAACCCGGACCACCTGGGTCATAGGTTGAAGCTTAACCGCTGAGCCACCCCAGCTGGGCCAGTTTAGTGTTCCTGATGCATCTTCATCCTTCATCTCAGGCAATGTCTGGGCTATAGGGAACCTCCAGCTGGAAGAGACCTTGGCTTCTGGAACATACACTCTCCATGTAATGTGATCCCTAATTTAGCTTTGGTCCTACCAGTGGGCTGGGCTCTTGGAGAACCAATATAAATAAGGCCTGCTTGATAATTTGTCCCTATTATTACTACACATTGTATCTCAACAGTCCTGAGAGTTAGTGGAAAGCTAAGAGAGGTACAGTAACTTGTTCTGTATCATAGGAGGACCTGGGTAAGCTGTGATTCAAACTCTCTTCTGTTCAATTCCAAGAGCTAAATTCTTTCCTTCTTGTACATACCGAGAAATGTAGATTTCAACAGTGAAGACAGACCATTTAAAACATAATTTGATACAATGTGTTCAGTGTTACAAGTAGAAACAGGCGGGCTTGCTTTGCCTTTCAGATTGGTAAGACTTCGGTCTGCCTGCTGGGTTTTCAGCATGCATAGTTCACCAGAAAAAAAGGGGACAAGATCATACTGGTAACTAAACAAGAGGGAGAACAGGAGTGCCTGGAGCTCGGGATGGAGTGGGAAGCAGGAAAAGGCAAAATAGTAAGTGTGGAGCTCACACTGTGAAGGGTCTCCTGGGCCAAGCCTGAGTCAACTTTGACTTCCCTTTTCCTCACATCCTATATCCAAGCACTCATCAAGTCCCGCTGGCTCAAATATGTAACTGGAATCTGACCATTTCCCCCACCTGCACTGCTACCACTCTGGCCCCTGATCCAAGCCACCATAAAATCTTGCCTAGTTTTATGCAAGAATTTCCTTCTGCCCTTGCCTACCTACAGCCTACTGTGGACAAAGCAGAGAGAGACAGAAAGAGAGGTCTTTCTAACATAGTAGTCCTCAGCCTTAGCTGCACATCAAAGCCTGCTGAGGAATTCTCACAAAGTTCTTATGGCCCTGGCCGGTGTGGCTCAGGGGTTAGAGCATTGGCCTGTGCACCTAAGGGTTGCAGGTTCAATTCCTGGCCCTGATCTGGGCATGTGCAGGAGGCAACCAGTCGATGTGTCTCTCTTGCATTGATCTCTCTCTCTCTCTCTCTCTCTTCCCTCCCTCCCTTCCATTCTCTAAAAAAAAGAATAATAAAAAATAGAATAAAATCAATAGAAAAATATCCTCAGGTGAGGATTAACAACAACAAAAAGTTCTTATGTCTGCAACTCCAGATTTTCTAATTTAGTTGTGAAGTGGGGCCCAGGCAGACGTATTTTTTAAAGCACCCCAACTGATTCTAACTTGTGGTCATTATTTCAGTATGTGAGTCTCATGTCTCTTCTCTGTCCAGCACTTCCCATCTCTCTGAGTATAATCCAGTGGTCTACAAGACTGTATGTGATCTGGTCTCTTGTGACCTCTCTTACCTCCCTCTCATTCAGTCTAGTCCAGGAACACTACTCTTTTTGTTCACTGAACAATTAAGGCACACTTCTGCCTTGAAGGCCTTGCCCTGTTGCCTATACTTGAAACACTTCTTTAAAAAAATTTTTTTTATATGTCTTTATTGATTTCAGAGAGAGGGAGGGAGAGGGAGAGAGAGAGATAGAAACATCAATCATGAGAGAGTCGTCATTGATCAGCTGCCTCCTGCACGCCCCCCACTGGGGATCGAGCCTGCAACCAGGCCTGTGCCCTGACCAGGAATCGAATGGAGATCTCCTGGATCACAGGTCCGTGCTCAACAGCTGAGCCACGGTGGCCTGTGAGACACTCTTCACTTAGAAGTCTGCATGGCTCAGTCCTTGACCTCCTTTAGGTATTTGCTCACCTATCACCTTCTTGGTGATGCCTTCCTAGTCCGCCCTCTTTAAAATTGCAACCCCTGCCCACCACTCTCTAGCCTCCTTATTCTGCTCCATTTTTCTTCATAGCACTTGTCACCATCTGACATTATCTGTCTCTTCTTCACTAGAATGTAAACCACAGGGGATCAGGAATTTTTGTTAATTGTTTTTGACTGGTACATATTTCTATCACCTTAAACACTATCTGACATACAGTAAGTGCTCAGTAAATCTTTGTTGAATAACTGAATTTCTGGATGTTTATGTATTTTGGTAGAGGGTGGTCCATGGTTTGGGCCATGTAGAATCTGAGGCACGAAGGGATACCAGGGGAGAGGTCAAGCCGTTGTCTGAAGCAGATGATGACTGAAGCTGTGGGAGCAGTTGACCAGCTCAGAGGAACATGGACATATGAGCAAAAGAGCCCCCCAAACCAGCTTCTCCCCATGTTCATCCTGATGAGTTTCTCCTTCATCTGCCTGGTCAACAGGCACCTGAGGTTACGCTGGACTCCTCTGGACTCCTCGCGGCCACACATCCCCCAAACAAGTTCTGTATTGCCTAGTCTGTCTGCACGACCACAGCCATCCTCTCCCTCAGACGACTGCCAATGACCCATTGTTTTCCACAGCGCAGTTTTAATGGTTTTTCCAAAACAAAAATTGGACCTTAAATTTTTCTTAATTAAATTTGGTCTTAAACCCTTTCAGTAGGTTCCCTGCTGCCCTTGGGGCCAAGTTCCAGCTCCCACAGGCCCTCTCAGCTCACCTCTTCCCACTCTGCCTATAGGCCCTCAAGGCACAGGACTCCCTCACACCTGGGGCCTCTGCTCAGGACCCAAAGGAAGAGACTCTTTTGGGGGGAAGCCTTTCCTACTGACTGCACTGCCTCACCTGGTTCCCCTGAACATAACCTTTTCTGCACACTCACTAGTGACACTGTTTGGCGGCCTGTGACCTGCGTGGCCGGGCGCGCCTTTAATAAGCACTGTCTTTGCAAGGTGTCCACGTGGGTCCCTGCTGCGTCAGGGATGAGACGGCAAGGTAGCCCCAGGGAGTAGAAAGGGGGCCAGGAGCTAGTCCTAGGGGCCAGTGAGTGAGAGCGTGAAGGGTGTTCTGCGAGGCCCCAGCCACCCTTGGGCGGAGGAGCCCGGGGCCCGGGCGGTGCCAGCTGTCGTCGCCTTCTGCGAAGGGGCGCCGAGCACTCAGCGCCCGCACACCTGGCGGGGGCAGCAGAGCGAGGTCTCGGCAGGCCGCCCTCCCGGGAGAACTTCCTCTCCGGCCTTCCGCGAACGGAAGAGGCGGGGACGCCCGCCACGCACGGAGCCCGCGGTCCCGGGTCCGCGGCCACGCAGAAGAGCCGGCATCCTTTCTGCGCAAGCGCTGCTCCCGGGGCGGGGGGCGGGGCCTGGACCGTCGAGGGGCGGGGCCAGATCTGGGGCCCGCCTCCACTAGCTCTCGTGAGCCTCCGGGTGCTGGGCACCCCGACTGTTTCAGGCGCTTCAGGTGAGCGGAGGGCGCAGAGGGGTCAGGAAACCTCCCTCGAGGTCGGGTCGTCGGTCTGATCGGGGGTCCATCTGTCCTGCCGCCTGCCGACAGCCGCCTCCGCGGAGAATGGGAGAACAAAGGGAGGGGGCGGTTCTGAAACCCCAGAGGGAATCCGGGGTCCCAGGTACTCTGCCCAGCTGACGCTTTCGGTTTCTCCCCGAGTCAGAGGCGCCAGCCAAGAGACCCTGGGCGGGCGCCTGGCGCAGCTGCCTCTCCGAGTTTGCCTGTCCGTCTCTGTGTCTGTCTCTGTGTCTGTCTGGCTGTCCCCGAGCTTGCCTCCACTTCTAGAACTAAGCTTCCGGTACGCCGACGAGCCGCGAACCTTCAGCCCTTTCCCATGGCAGGTAGGTGGGCGCAAGGCCGGGGTCCCCGTTATCCCCCCACGGACTTGGGAGCTGGGTGTCGCACGCATCCTCCGGGAATGTGCTCCGACTGGCCGGGCGGGGCCCCTCCCTTCCTCTCGGGCAGCCGCCGCCCTGCTTCCCCGCCCCATCTTTTTCAGCCTCTTCTCGCCACATTTCCCCCGCAGCCTCGAGGTCCCCCACGGGCTAAGGGGTGAGGGGGTGAGGCTACAGGTCCCTTTCTAATCTACCCCTGCCCCCCACAGGATACTTGCCCCCCAAAGGCTACGCCCCTTCGCCCCCTCCTCCCTACCCTGTGACCGCCGGGTACCCGGAGCAGGTGCCGCATCCCGGGCCCGGGCCCGCGCCAGTGCTCGCCCACGTGCCTGCCCCTGCTCCCGGCTTCGCCCTCTTCCCCTCGCCCGGCCCCAGTGCCCCGGCGCCTGCCTCCGGACCTGCTGCCCCCTTGCTGCTGCCCGGGGTGCCTTCTGGTCTCCAGTTCTTGGTGCAGGTGAGTGGGAGGTGGGAGGGAGCCGCGGCGGGAAGGCACCGACGCTTCCGGGCTGCCGGCTGAGGTGGGCGCGGCCCCTGCTCTCTTTCCAGATTGATCAGATCTTGATTCACCAGAAGGCTGAGCGAGTGGAAAGTGAGTGGAAGGACGAGTAGGTTGGTCCCGGTGACAGGGGCGGAGGTAGTGGGCTGTTGGGCAGGCACTGGTGCCTGAGCCCCGTGTCGCCCCTTGGCAGTGCTCCTAGGCTGGGACACAAGTAACCGGTATGAACTGCGCTCAGGGGCTGGGCAGCCCCTGGGTCAGGCGGCTGAGGAGAGCAACTGCTGCGCCCGTCTGTGCTGCGGGGCCCGCCGGCCCCTTCGTGTCCGCCTGGTGGATCCCGGGGACCGAGAGGTGCTGCGCCTGCTCCGCCCGC